ACAGTTCTACACGTGAACGTTACTGGTTGGTCATAAAGTTGGTTTCTCAAAAAATATTCATTCAAATAGAGGACAAGGAAGTCTCTAGATATTTTTTTATAGATTTAAATAAAGATTTATTTGTTTACCTTAAAATTTCGTGATACAAACTAAATTAATCATTGTGTTTTCGGCTTATAGGTTCTCAGTTAACTGTACATGACGGGGCAGGTATCTTCCTCAGAAAAGGCAGCTATCCAACAAAACAAGAATTATTCAACGTGAACTAGTAGTTTCAGAGATTAGCGGACTCAAACAAACTCTTCAGTATTACAATTATAATATTAGTATAGATCTATTTAGGACCAATTATTCTACCATCAGTTTACTCTTAAGACTAAAATTGTCATTTGACAGATTTTAATATCGAAGAATTGTCAAATATTCAAAGTTATGCCCCAGTTAAGAATTAACTGATGATTGAAAGATCGGACCTTAATCTTTTTATCAAAACTTTATTCAATAACTAAAACAAAAGTCTAGGATTGCAGTAGCGACCATAAATCATTTTCAATTAGGCGAGGAAGCTGCGCGCGCAACGCCCCGCGCGACCGATTGGCGCGTTCATTATAAAATTTCAAGATGGACGCCCACCCGCTCCGATTACCGCCAGATGTGTGACATTTTGTAAACAATCCCGCCGACGAATGATCTATTTATTTTAGACGCCCAGATTTCATTGGATATTGAGTGGGTAATTCAGGAGATACTGGAAGATTTTTAGGAACAGCCATTGATGGTATCATAATATGGATGGACAGTTTAAGGAACTAATTAAAAAGTAATCAGGCCTTCTAAGACGTGAATATGTAGAGGACAGAATCTTCCAAATCTTAATCTTTAAGTTTATCTTTAAGTAGATAAGTACTTACTTACCTAAAAAAAACTTTACTTCCTATCTTTATGTTTTGACTTGACTGCCTCGTTACTTGGAAGGCCGCAAATGCTACCCATTGCCAAGTTTGTTTCAATTTTAGAGAATTGTAGAAAAACCGTAAAACCCTATAACTTTGTCCGACATGCAACCCGAAGCCAAACCCCTTTGCTGTCGCTAACCAACAGAGCAGTGCTAATAATACTAAACTATAGCTAGGTACCTTGTCAATATTTTCTGAGAAAAAAGTTCTATCTCCTTCATAACCTTCAAGAAAAGAGCGTATTCTTTTTTCGGCAACGCACCTGTGACTCCCTTGGTGTTGCGGGAGTCAGTTCGTTTGCCTCCTATTCCATAAAAAGCCTGGCTACGTCAAAGAGCCATCAGACGACCACTGATGGGGCCCAATAGAGCTGATGCTGATACGAAGCCGCGGAGGACTCAACGGGGTACCGGGGCTCCGGCTTGAAGTGCAGGAGTAGGAAGTTAGGAACGGGGTGGTTTGAGTCAGTAATAGTCTGATACTCCTTCCCGCCTCACCCAGGCGGGAGAAGTCATTTGAATACCCCCTTAAAAAAAACACATTTCCGAACACCTAAATTAGTATCTACCTGTACTGACAAGATACCTAGCCACTAATCATCGACAGACAAGGACAGAGCGATTAAACTATGCAAGAAGTAAAGGACAACAACATTGTTATTGTAATGATGACAATGCTAGTTTTTATGACGTGCGATCCACCTGCAGCTTAGAATGGAGGTTTCCTAAGCAAAGTACCGGTTATTAAAATAAACTGTAGTTTTTAGTTCCGCAGGTAAAATGGTCATGATGGAACCCGAGGAGTACCTACCTACTATTTCTTTTAAAGTCTAAGCATTTATTTTATGAATCTTGAATTACGCACTTTTGGGACGTCAAAAATGGAATTGTCCCTCCGCTTGTATGTCAATGAAGCTAGGCGCTCGTTCTAAAGTGTAAACAAGTAGTTTCGAATTGAGAACAACGAGTAAGAAACTCATTCGTTACCTACTCTTAATTTTTTTTTTTTATAATTTCATTGATCATCTAATCCTTCGTGTATTGTATTGTATACGTACCTAACTTTATGAGAACGATGTAACGACAACACAACGTCACAAATTAATGGGGCTATGGAATCAACTCTTTATTAGGGATGATGACAGGGTATGAAAATTAAAAATATAATTAGTCCGTAAATTATGAAAAAATATTAGACAGGTATTTTTTATTTTGTCGTATAATGAAACAATACTTATATAAAACGAATCAAAGTTTGGGAGCGGGGGTTAAAACGTCAATTCTACGTATAAAATGTACATAGAAGTGATCGCGGAGAACTTAACGAGTTACCAGGGCTCCGGCTCGAAGTGCAGGAGTAGGAACGGGGTGGATTTTAGTCAGTAAGAGTCTGACACTCCCTCTCGCCTCGCCCGGGCGGGAGAAGTAATTGGATGAATTCCCCCCTTAAAAAAGGGCATACAAACTATAGCTAGATAATAATGAAGAGCTGGAAGAGGTTTTATTATTATCAACAGCCGGTGACAGTTCACTGCTGGACTTCAAGCTACCACACAAGAGGGTTTGCCATTATCTCTACTCCACGCCTTTGGCAAGCCTATCGCAGTTCAAATAGTTTAGATTTATCAGATAGTTCAAATGGTTCAGATTTCCTTTCGCAAGCCTACGTTGTCCCTCATTTTGCATTTTACTACACCCACGGGTGAGAAGCCGTCATTATCACACGGGTAACTAGCAGTGGCTATTGGAAATCTATTTTATTTTATCTTTACAATTACTAAAGAAAATAAGAGCAGCTATAAAAGAGGACTCAACTTGTTACATTCTTCCACCTGACCATATAAATATGCAAAAGTACCTAACGCACTTGTTATTATGATAAACTTTTTCCACTATCCCGTGCCCTTTACTTCCGTATCGCATTATCCATACATGGTGCCGTATTAAAAACCATACATTTCGGTGATGCGTGACCTAACCGGTCGGCCGCCCTTCCTACCTGGATACGCCTGAGAAAATCTACCACGAAACATCGTAACACAAAAAATAACCTAACATTGTAGCTTCCATTTTCCTTTTTCTTCATATCGTTGAAGGATTTAATAGAAAAAACAAGCAATTGAAGTTATTTAATATGATTCCTTGTATTTATCGTGTATAAAGTTGTGTAAATAATTAATAGAAACGTTCCATCATAACGCATTGTTAAGTAAGCCGCCATTTTGATATTTGAAACATTTCCCGCCAAATGTGCAATCCTGTGACGTAGGTTATATTTTTTTTATTGCTAGTGCAATGGACTTTGAGTGGTCTTCGTTTTTATCACGATAAGGTTTATGGCCTTTGTTGTCGGTAAAAATAAATGCATAACTAGTATTTCTTGGCTTGATATGTAAGTAATGAATTATATCAACGACTTTTTCAACCAGCTACCGTTTAGTATTAGGTATCTTCATTATAGTAAATCCTTGGTAGAAATTTAAAGCATGAAATGGTTAACAAATAATATGCTACAGTAATTTAAGGAACCACTTTCAATTATAGTAACGCCGCAAAAGGCGTTTTCGAAATCCAAGTCAATAATGACATCAGACCACCACGGATGATGCCGATCCCTCCCGCTCCTCCCTGGGTGAGCCAGGCGGGAGAAGTAATTCGATGATTTTCCCCCCTTTAAAAATAAAAGTCAACAATGACAATACCTAACCATAAAGTTCCGTACTCCAAACAAACCTCAATTTCACCATAAAACTTTAAATGATGATGGGAATCTGGGATAGATAGCTACGTCCAAAAACTGTGTTCTACCTATCAAGTATGATCTCCAAGCTGTCTGACAAACGTGAAGATTATGGTGAACCGCTCCCTTCATAAGAAAGTCTCATATTCAGCAGAAAACGACACAACGACGTCTTCTGGCTGAATACTCATAAATGATTAGAATAAGTACATAAGATGATTAACATCTCCACTGTCTGCACAACACTACCAAAAAATGTACACGTCTCATGGTCATGATATTTCAAAATACTGAGAAAATAAGTATAAGACTTCGAAAATATTTACGTAGATAGGTAAAGCAAAAACGGTTGTTTTATTGCTTCAAAATATATTTTTCAAAATAAGTGTCAAATAAGTAATAAATTAAACAAAAAAACTTCGTGCAATAAGAAGTCCTAATGTGCTTATGGTAATTTGGTGAAAAATTACGCTATTACCTCGGTTGCTGCGAAAAAAACTGGCATTTTTAACTGCACGGTACTTTACCCATATGTAAAATACAGTTAGTATGTAGTAGCTACCTATTTAAGTACTAAAACACCTTTACATAAACCATAACAACGACTAATTTTTGCTGTGAAGTGATGGATAAAATAGGTAATCAACTAATGTATTAGATAATTCAGTAAATACTGCTGTTTGAGCATCACCGACAGTCAGGGCCGTCTTAGACTGTGCCAAATAATAATTTGCATTTTTGGAACGATTCTTTTTTTTAAATAGGCTGGTAATTTCACTTGAAATACCTCTGATGCTACACGTATAGACACCTGGAGGCAGATTGCTTATACTGTCAAGTGCTGACTCGTCTTCTTGCTTGCTACCTTGACAATTACGATTCTATAATAAGAGATTTGGTAGATACTTGTGTCTCATCATTCGTCATAGATACATGTAATTTATTTTAACGTTGCGCATAATTGCATCATTAGATTAATGACTAATATCGCATGATAAGATGGCTAATTTGTAATTATTTCGTCCTATTTTTAGTAAATACATAGGTAATAAATTGCTGCATCATCGTTACATTTCATTTCTATTTTGTCTATTACGGTAATACGTACGGCTTATTCATTACTAGGTTCTATTAGCGGCTTCGCCCGCGGTCCCATGGTCCAAAGGATGAAAAGTAGCCTATGTGTATTTCAGACCATAATCTACCCCTATTGATCCATTCCATCCTGATCCCTTCAGTCGTTTTGACATGAAAGAGTAACAAACAAACATACAAACTTTCGCATTAATAATATTAGGTAGTAGGATGGCCATTATAGACTTACTTACACAATCAACAGAAACCAGGCAGGCATTAGTAGCGTTCTTTGTTAAACCCAGGCTTACCTGGACTCTGGACCCTCTCCAGCCTGTCTGCCAGGTAGGCGTGAAAATTATGGAACTCTTATAAGTAGATGAGTTCTGACGTCAGAGGACCACGTGCTGTTGATAATGATGAATTAAGCAAAGTTAAATGACCCAGTTAGATGTTAAATTATTTTAGTTTAAAGATCAAAATAATGCATATCATGATCATCTACAAAGATCAAACTAGAAAATAAAAGGCGCGAACTATGAACGATCGGCGCGAAGTTTTGCTAAATGTTACCAGTTTTTAATACTTACAGGGATAAATTTGCAATTAATTTTAACATTAACATTAAACGTTTTAACGTTAACATTATAACGTTTCAGATAAAACTAAATTATGCTTATAAATAAAAAATAAACTGTTAGGTAAGTAGAAATTCATGCAATTTACCTTTGCGAGAAAGATTGTAGTATGTGTGATTAATACTGATTAAGTAACTATGTGATTAGTTAATGAAACAAATAATTAGAAAATAATTGTATTCACATTATAAAGCGTATCTAAGAACTCAAAAAAAATATTTTTGCCTATATACTAATATGTTATCATCTAATGATGCACATTAGTAATTAAAACGTAACAATTTTGTGAATATAAAAATAAAAATCTTAGATCTAACTTGGAACAGTAATTTATTTTGTTCTGGCAGCACCGAACATGACAGGTGTTTACGCGCCAAACAACAATGGTTGCTTGCTAACGTTTGATAAAAGTTTTTGATGCACGTTTTTTATTGCAATTTACGTATTTTCTAAACTAAAAACCGTTTTAACTGTTCATTTAACGTTTATTAACTTTGTTTGAGCTACAATATGTAGCAGTACTATCAAGAATTGAGTAGAAATTGTATCGAGTTGTGAGGCTGGATCACCGATACGTTGAGAGTGCCGTGTCCTATTTCATGATTTATAGTTAATTAAGGTCAGCTATTCGGTCATAGAAATGGCTGCGACGACTCCTAGGCGGTCGACGCGGATTCCGCATACTCATACACCGAAAATGTCTGAGCGTAAGAAGGGGTTATTTCAACGGGAGGAGTTGCCTTCGCGGGAGTCACTGACAACGCATAGGAAGCTGCCGGTGGTGGATAGCGAGAGTGATAGTGAAGATTGTGACTTGGGAATCATCAGTACGTTGGATTCCAGCTCTGATGAGAATGAACAGAATGTTCCCAAGACTCCTGAGAGAAGCTTGTGGCGTAAGTTTTTTTGCTTAACTTCTAACATCTTCTAAACAAACTCGTGTTATTATTTAAACAATACTTTAAACAGACAGCTGAAGGGTTTTATTCGTCTATCAATGTGGTATTTCTTTCCTGTCTATGTAAGAGGTTTAAAGTCCTTGAATTTGACTTGAAAGTTAACCTTGTATGCTATTTTCCTGTCTGTAACACTTTGTTTGTTTGCCACTTGCATTACTTCATTTTCGTACATTGTAAGGGCTGTTTTAGCGAATGATTTATCTTAACACTCATACTATTCATATCAGGAACTTCGTTTACATTTGTTATGTTATTTACCTAATTTTAACTAAAAGTTGAAGAATAATTTTGCAAGAAACAACTGTATGTAACTACAGTGGATGTTTGCACTCCTACTTTATTGTTTTATGCACTTACAGTCATATTCTCATTAAATTAGGGTTGGTTTTGAGTTTCAACAAGGTTAATTAGAATCTATGATCAATGGAGAGAACATACTAAGCGTTTATCATACTAACCTATCATGTAACAAAGCTTTACTCAGTCTAAATCAATCTGAAGTTTTTGCTCTGATTGTGAGAGACCACTTACTTTATCTTCTTATTTGTTTAGATTAGATGCTTGTGCTGATAACAATCTTCACTATTATTATATATGCAAAAGTTTGTATGAATGTTCATCAGGTAAATTAAAGGTGCAAGCTAGGATATATATTTTAAGATAGTGTGTATAGGTCTCTCTATCAAGCTATTATATTGAGCACACAAATTACTATATAAGTACTTAAAATACTGTCTCGGCCCAGTGGTTGCATGTGCAACTTCCAGGCAAGGGGTCTCGGGTGCTATTCCCGAGACGGAGATTTATTTTTAGTCTCAGTAGTAGCATGGAGTTTGGAACTGTGCCTGGAATATGGCGATAGGCTCACCCCCTATTACATGGAACTCCTAACATAAATAGTAAAAAGTGGGTGTTACATTGTACAGTGACATTAAGTGCCGTAATGTGCACCTCTGCCTACCCCTTTCTGAATGAAAGATGTAATATTGAATAATGATTAATAATAATAATATTCTACACAAGTTACCATCAATATAGAATGGTGACCTAAATAATAATGCTCCTAATCACTGATTACTAGTAATTACTGAACCAGATGTTTTATAATCACAACTAGGTCAAAATCAGACTATCTAGCACTGATTAGTTTTATATGGCGTCACTGTAATTAGAGTAGACATTGATATTATAAAATTCATTTATCAATGCCTTATTATTTAATTTCAAAGTTTTAGTTGTAAACCATAGTATGAAAACTAGATCTTAATTTATACTTAACTAGCCATTACTGCACGATTTCACTGCTTTGCTGCACATGTTTTAGCATGTCTCACAAATGTTTTAATATAAACATAGAAAAGACTCATTGCAAAGAATATATTCCAATACAAAATACACGACAAAGAACCTCCTTGAATTCCTATAATGATATGAGGCTAAAATAACCATTGATTTAATCTCAATTTTTAAAACTTATATTTATTTTATTTTACTTAAGTTACCTGAAGTTACCATCAGCAAAGTACAAACAAGCATTATATGCAAATTCTATATTATATTCCATTATTTTAATTACATTTATAACAATAAGCGACCGTCATATCCAACTATTATTCATAATATCATTTATTTTTATTCGCAGATGAAACAAGAAGTCAAACTCGTAAGCTTCTGAAGGAAAGCAATGATTTGAAGAATTTTATCAAGTCTCCATTCACTTTGAAGAAGTATCAGACAAGGTATTGTCCCGAGTCAAAATGTTCTGGTTCAGTATCCACTCCGGCTACTCCACACCTGAACAACCACCCTGGTACTCCATCTTCTACACACTCATGTGCCAGTGTCCACACAACATCTTCTACCTCAAGCCGGGCTCGCAAAAGCCTGGCCAGTCTCATCGCAGACACAGAAAGTTGCAGCAGCTCTCTAAAAGACCTAAACTTTGACACTGATTCAGGCACAGATTCTAAGGAAAATACACCTACAAAATCTTTAAGGAGATCCAATAGAAGGAATAAGCTGACTCCAAAATTCCACAGCTTCAAAGGCATACTTCTAGAACAGAAGAAAAATGTCTCCCCAATGAAAAACGCAGTGGTTTGCTTGACAAAAATGGACATGAATAGTATCATATCCCCTACACAGATGCAGAAAACTCCTCAAACGACAGACGCGGGTGCTTCGCCCCCCAAGTTGGGACACAACCGCCGTTCCGTCATTGAGATTGGTGAAAGTCCTGAATCGGCTTGTGACAGCGAAAAGAGCAATAAGAGACTACGGAACGATAGTCTTTCGGAACACGGTCCAAATTCTAAGTACCCTAGACTGGAAAATGCTCCTAAGGCACGCCTGTCGTTGTTCAACAGCGACAGGCTGAAAGAAATCTTATCTGCTAAGTCGTTCTACGGGAAGAGCAACCCGGACCTGAATACCAACCTAACAGCCAAGATTTCGCATGCGATTGAAGCTACGACCAGCAACAGGCGTTTAAGACATTCGCACTCTCATAGGCGTAAGAGGAAGCCGGGACAGATTAATTCAGGAGTGAGACATAGGATCAGGAAGCCGAAGTATAACAAGAGTAAGGTGATGAAGTACCAGAATGCTTCGTTGAATAGTTCCATGTTGAATGACACCGTCATTTCGAATCCTAATGTGACGGACGCGTCAATGGTCAGCCAGAACTCGTCGCAGGAACTCTGTAATGGTAAGTGCTTCTTATTGTTAGCGTGTGAACATCATTGTATGCCCTCTGAAATTAATATTTTCGGTGTACAAGTAAAATTAATTAGTAGCTGTGTTTTGTTTGTATAATTAATTGTTTTCATTGAAAATATTATTGTGGTTGCGTCGCGTTGTCGTGTGACCTTCGGAACGTTTTTGAGCCATTGTGAATAGATTGCTCGTTAGATTTTTCAGTATCATTGTCTCATTAGAATCGAGTCTTATGCTTAGCAATAAGCTTAGTAATCAAATAAATAATTTAGCGATTGTCAACTTTATTGCGACAGACACACGGATTGTTATGAAGCTGCTTTATAACTCAAGCAGTTGGAAGTGTGACTGCCAAACAAGATGTCTCTGGTTCGATACTCAGATCAAATTTATAAATAAATTTTGATTACGCAAACATATGAATTATTTTGTGGAATAGAAAAAGAGGTCAATAATTATAAAAAGATTAAAAATAATATTTCCTGAAAGTTTTTGCCACAATTCTTATTATAAGCTTTTGGTAATTTAAAAGATGATGCATTTTTTCTTCTACATTTCAACACATGCAATAACTGATTGATTGATCATTACTTCATTACTAAAGCTCATTAGAGCATAATAATATTTTTTCATAAATATTATATCCTGGTTTAGTTTTTTGGTCATGATATTATTTAAAAAACTCCGTATCATGACTACAACAAAAGTACAGATTCAAATCTTATATCCATTTAACGATCGTTGCTTTATGTAAGAAAGGTTGTCACCCAGCAATGGGACATTGTTATTTATGTGTTTCACAATATATTTGATAGTTTGTTGAAGTCTTAATTAACGGATAATCTGATATATTTTCGATATAAAATGTGTTAAATTAAAATGCATATCAGTTAAGCTTTCAATGATTTTATTAGACACTAGCTACTTCCGCGCGGTTGCACCCGCTCTGCTTGGCTCCTTTTGATCGTAGCCTCGATAAATGGAGTATCCAACACAAAAAGAATTATTGAAGTTGGACAGGTATTTCCGAAGATTTGCGCGTTCAAACAAACAAACTCTTCAGCTTTATATAGATTATGTAATACGCCTTTAGTCTTCAATAGCATAGATATGGAACTGTGAACGACCTTTTCCGGGATGGTTTTTAGCCAGTAATCTAAGAATCTACTGCCACTCGCCATGCACAAAGCGGGAGAAGTCGGATGGAGAGAAGTCAAAGAGAAGTTGGATCATTTTACCTCATCAAAAGCCTTCAATATCATTACATAGTATAAAACAAAGTCGCTATCCGCCATCTGTCTGTCCATATGTACGCTTCGATCTTTAAAACTATGCAACGGATTTTGAAAAGGGTTTTTTTTTAATAGATAGAGTGATTCTTAACTCGTCGAGTACCGTATTTATAGACACAATTAAAGAACAATAGGTTGCGGTCACCGGTGACCGCTTGGTGTTTGACAGTTTAAGGAAGGTTTATATACATAAACATGCATATTGCACCCGTGCAAAGCTGGTCGCTAGTTAGTTACATATATGACATTTTTCATTTTCTTTTTTCACAGACAAAGCAGATCCATTTGACAAAGAAAAACAAACAATCGAAGCCCTATTAAGTCAATGGACAGAGGAAGACATTCCGGAATCCGAACTATCATATTCAAAGCCCATGCAAGAGCTACCATGTTTCAACAGCACAGTTATAGAAGAAACCAAACAAATATTCCAACCAATCACAGCTGTGCCAGTTAACATGGCAACACTACCACAAGATAGCGAAGCTGTTATTGTGGAATTGGGTTGCCAGAAAGCAATAACACCGCAGAACAGTTGTCTACCGTCGACGGTAGAGCCGTTACCACAAGTGGCATTACCACCAACGGTAGCACCTTTGACTACGTTGTCACGAGTGGCGGTGCCATCGATAGATCTGACTTTGCCACCTTCGGCTACGAATGACGTGGTTATGACAGAAGTGGACGGTCATGCGCAGAGCCATGGCGAGCTGCCTAAGAGTGGACAATTTTTGCCTGTTGAAGGCGGATATATCCTGGTTGAAGAGAATGCTGTGCAAGGTAATTTAAGTTCTAATATTTTTTTCGTTAATATGGCTACGTCGTGCCGGTTGTATTTAGTTGACAAGCTTACAATAGGAGTATGCTGAAAGAAGTCTTCAGATATATCTCTAGCTTTTGTTGTCATCCATTCTATTTTTAAATTTCAATATACAAGTGAAATACGTTATAGTAAACCACGTCTTTTTTAAAGAAACTAACCTCCTATTATTGTTTGGCTATCTATCTAGGTGTGTGCTTACTCATTGGCCACAAGTACGATTGAGTGAGTAGTAAGTCTCAAGTTCGATCCCCGACTTCATCATCCAGTCAGTGTTAACCGTGCAATCCATTACAACATAAACGACTAGTTTCAAGCCATGCTAGAGGCTTATATTCATTAGCAGCATTTCGCGACCCGCGACGCGGCGACTGTCGCGCTGCTACTGTCAGTATAATTTATTTAGTATGTCTCAATAAAGTTGCAATACAAACATAACATAATTATTTTTTATACAATTCATATCCTTTTATTAACCAACATCGAAAAAAGAAAGAGGTATTAATGTTTGTTCACGATTAACTCGTGATTGGCTAACTCGATTTCGATGCAGTTTTCAGAAAAGTGTATGTTACACTTAGGAGAAGGTATTAGTACATTAATAAACTGATCTCAAAAAAGAGACGGTTGAAGACGGTTTTTTAAACGTAGTTTATCAAATAATTGGGTACTCGCCAACTAGTCAGATCCAATACTTCTTTTGAACTGTGTTCTACGACAGTTTTCTATGAATTTCGTACGAGATTGTGTATTGTGACGCCCCTTTTTTTAGCGTCAAACAACGTACTTATTTCTTAAAAAATTGCTCTAAAAATACTAAAATTAAGTTGGTCATAAAATCAATTAAGGAAAGTACCCAATTCATCATCAACAGCCTATAAATGCCCTGGCCTATAAATGGCTGAGCAAAGCCTCTTCTCACACGGAGAAGGTTTTGAGCATTAACCACCACGCTTGCTCAATGCGGGTTGGCGATTTCAAACTTATAATTAGAAATTATAAGTCCAGGTTTCCTCACGATGTTTTTCCTTCACCGTTTGTCAGTGGTGTCTAGATAATCTTAGAAAGTACATATAACTCGGAAAAAGTCACATTGGTACTTGCCGTTGGTAGGTTTCGAACCCGCACCCTCATGCATAAGAAGTGGGCATCTTAAACCTCCGGGCCACCACGACAAGTACCCAATTATTATTCTACAATACCAAGCACAGTTACGTCTTAACGGTCTAACTAAAGTCAAAGTTCACTTTTAATATCCCTTTACAAACACAGGTGGTCAAACCATTCACTTAGCCGACCCCTAAGTATAATTATTACTAGTACGGGAAAAGACAGCTGTTGGCGTTACAAAGTATAAAGGAACTGGTTTTCTAACTTAGGGGTTGCATGGTCATTGGTATATTGAATGTGTCTTCACATCCGACCCGGGAATCGAATCCGAGACCTTGTGTTTTAGTTTCAAAAGTTAAGGGTGTGAGATTTATTTTTGCAACTGTCATTGAGAAGTTTCACTGTATAGATAGTATCCTTCGGATTCAGTTGTATAATGCTTATTATATTGTTTTAACTTTAAATGTATTAAAAACTTGTTTAATGTATTTTGAAGATCTTGTTACCTTAACTGACATTACCATCAAATGTGGCGTTGTAGTAATAAAAATATGTAAAACTAGCTGTTGCCCGCGACTTCGCGTAGAATATGTATTTTATTTGAATTTATCCCGAGGGAACATTTACTTGAAATAAAAAGTATCTTTTAATCTTCATCAGCACATACTCTGTCTGTATACTAAATGTTATCAAAATTTGTTTAGTAGTTCCAGCGTGATTGACGAAACGACACGCATTGAAAGATAGATTTTATTTTCTTTAAAAAAAACGTTGCCCCACGTTAGGATTTTTTCCTGGATCACACAGAGTTGTTTCTCTTTTAAAACTCTCTTAAGAAACTTTCACATTTATAATATTAGTGTGATAATTCAATGAAGGAATAGATATAGATGTCGTCTTTCCAGCCGTCCTCGAGTCTTCCTAAATAACAAGTTTACAAATTCAACGATATCCGTGCCTTCTACTCCGAATAAAAATACTGAATATTTCAGCGCAAGAAGTACTACCGGACTTAGACGAGATCGAGCGCGAACTGAAGATGCTGGACGAACAGATACTTAAGATGGCGGAGTCTAATAATATCAACCCTGAAGCCGTGCTAGCATCCACTGAGACCATACCAGCAGTTGGCAAAGGTAAGAAAATATACATCACATCACGGCATTTACTATGGGTTTTTTTTAAGGGGGGAAAAATCATCGAATGACTGCTCCCGCCTGGGTGAGGCGGAAGGGAGTGTCAGACTCTTACTGACTAAAAACCACCCCGTTCCTTCTCCTGCACGCCGAGCCGGAGCCCCGGTTACCCGTTAGGTTCTCCGCGACATTTACTATGGGATAGGGGTGGCAAACGGGACTGACGGAACACTTGGTAGTAAGAAATCAATGCACCGTACACCGCACGGCCCGTGGCCACCAGCAGTATTAGAGAGCTTATAATTGCGTTACCTGTAACGCCTTTGGGGAGGCAGAAAACTATTTCATAAGAAAAAATGCTTAAATATTTATATCCCAAGGGGCTTTTAATAAGTCCATTTGGTACATATCTTATACTAGCATATAAAACTGAAGAGTTTGTTTGTTTGAACGCGCTAATCTCTAGAACTACTCGTCCGATGTGAATAATTATTTTGTGTTGGATAGTGCATTCATCGAGGAAAGCTATAGGCTATAAGACATCGCTACGATCAATAGGAGTCGAGCAGAGCGGGTGAAACCGTGGGGAAGTAGTACTGATATTAAATGCCTTACAATTTTCAACTGCTACATGTGAATTAATTTAAACAAATTCAATAGCTTAATAATTATTTTCTTTATTCAGAAAGTTAACGTCAAACCTTTGGCTTAGCACAGTCGCGTTCGCGAGCACTCATCCTAATCAGTATTCTAGTAAAAGTGTAATATGCTAAATTCCCGAGCGAATAGGTTGCTTATAGGCAGATGTGCTCAATCGTAGACCACATCATCGCTTTTCCAAGTGAGATAGTGGCCAAACCAAAGAAGAAATCTAATTAGAAAAAAAATAGTTGCATGTAAAATACCTAATTAATCTTCCTAATAACATCAAGCTAAATCATTTAGGAGCACGGCAGGCAAGGGAAACCGCATTGAAGTGTATAATTAATACTCCACACAGCACCAAATTGCGTTTAAACAGCATTAAATTATAATATTATAGTAGGTAATTAAAAATTATAATCATTTGTGAAAATGTTCAGATTAATGTACCATTGTTCATACGTTTTTTTGTTTCAACAAAGCCCAAGGTCGTTTTACACGCACAGACGTTGCATTTCGTTTTTATTTAATTTAAATATAACTCATAATAATGAAATGATAAATTAATTAATGAAATAAATTACTGCTTCGTTGGCCGAGTTCTCGCAAGTGCGACTAGGGGTCTTGGTTTCACTTCCCGGGCCGGGCAAAGTATTACAGGGTTTTTAAAAAAATATCAGTAGTAACACGGAGTCTGGAATTGTGCCCGGTATATGCAACAGGCTCACCCTCTATTACATGGGACTCATAACATAAATAGTGAAAAATCCTTAAATTATAATAAAAAGAAGTCCTCTTTCGCGACGTATCTGTGTGCAAGGAAATAATCTCGAAAACTACTGAACGAATTTTAGTATACAGTTCACAGAACGAATAGATAGTAGTGTGATTCCTGTGGAATGTTTGTATTTACGGTTTTTTTTACAACGCAAAGCCAATTTAATAGAAAAATCTTTATTTATTTTGTTCCAGATGTTCCGACGACATCTACAGAAACAAGTGACAAGTCTGACAAACCTAAATTGTTCCCCATCTTTGACAAGCCCAACCCTGGCATTGTTGTTACTGGCAACTCGAAAGGTAAATAACATTTATATTTTAAAATGATATAGAATAATGGAATATTACATCGTTTTACCCGTTTATTACATCATTTTACGTGGTAAATGGTAAATTATTGTGAATATGATTAAAAAAACAACTAAATACTTTATCTTCGGTTTTTTTTTAAGAAACTAATGGTAATAGATGAGAAAATAATAGTGTGGGGCTTGCCTCACGATGAGAAAATAATAGTGTAAATAATAGTGTAGGGGCAAGCCCCACACTATTTTATTTTCTCATCGTGGGTGCGTTTGCAAACATACAATTTTACATACACATGACACCCAGACCCAAAACAACAATTTGTGTGTTGATTTGTGCGGTAATCTAACCTGATACACAGTACGCAGCAGCTGGTTGCCCAACCACGGCCAACCGTGGTAGTATCTGACTGCATGATTGGCCACTATGGTCTATTCTATACTTACTGTCTAAACTATATTCAATTTTATGTCTTTTCTTATCAGGTGGAGACAAGAGTAAACGCTTGATTAAGACTGGAGATGACCAGTATGTGATAGACGCTGGACAGAAGAGGTTTGGAGCCACGCAGTGCGCTGAATGTGGAACTATCTATCAGGTATATATTTCATAGTTTTGCCATTAACATTTTCAAAAAAGTATTTGTAACTATGCTGTGTGACTGGCAATTGGGTACTATGCTGAGAGAAGTAGAAATGTTATAAAATTATGGTTTTATATATAAACATGTCCAAATGTTATTTCGATAAAATGACACGGGAATTATAAATTTGGTTTTCCTTAATAAAAAATAAATTATTACGACCGTTCAATACAATGAAATATTAAGAAATAATCACACTTTCATTTATTGATTTTATTATTTTAAAAAAAAGGTGACGTTACAATTCACAATCTCGTACAAAATTCATAGAAAACTGTCGTTTTTGACAGTTCGAAAAAAGTATTGAATTTTACTAGTTGGCAAGTACCCAATTGCTTTTTGAGACAAATAAATGTGTAATATTGATTATTTGCTTCCAGATCGGTGACCCTCAAGATGAACATGATCACTTGGTGCATCACAATGCCACAGACGTGTTGAAGTTCAATGTAAGTAAAATTTTAACACACACCCACAACACACACAATTTAAACATACTTTAGTATACGGAACCGCGGAAGACCTAAACGGGTTGCCGGGGCTCCGGCTCGAAGAGCAGGAATAGGAACGGGGTGGTTTTTAGTCAGTAAGAGTCTGACACTCCCTCTCGCCTTGCCCGGGTGGGAGAAATCATTAGATAAATTCCCCCTTAAAAAAAGAGATAACAAACTATAGCTAGATCAGACTGAAGAGCTGGAAGTGGTTTAACAGCTGGTGACAGTTCACTGCTGGACTTCAAGCTTCCTCTACACATGAGGGTTTGCCATTGTCACTACTCCAATACCCAAGGCGGGAGAAGTCGTTGGATGACTTTACACCCTCAAAAAAAAGCATACTTCAGTACTCACTATTTAGAGACATCATTATAATTAGGGTGAATTAGCATAGCATGTCTGTCTACTCTTAAATATAGCTTATTATAAAGCCAATTTTCAAATGCTTTAAAAAGTCGTTTCAATTCTTGACAAGTATGCAAGTATTTTTTTTTTAATTTACCCAAGTATTTTAGTTGTATTTTGACTAAATATTGCATTGTTTCTTTGCTATGCTATAACTTACAAAATGATTAAAATTTCCAGGGTTTCAAAGACGAATGTATAGTGGACAGGCCGAGTCCCACAGAGCGGTGCATCCGCATCCGAGGAGGAGAGAATGGGTGGAAGAAAGTAGAACAATTACTAAACAGAGTCGTACATCCTCACCTGGGGTATGGGAACGAACTTCCCAAGGACCAGATACATGCCTTTACGGTGAGTTTTGCTATATTATATTGTACAGATCTTTGGTAATGGCAGAGTAAAATCCATTTGTCACCAGTTCTATTCTAACTGCAGATGTCGTAAGGGCTAACTGAGGGACAACTGATAAACCTGAACTTTTTTGAATATGATCTCTAACTTGTTCACTTTGTGCTAAGTAAGATTTTGGCAACCTATCTTATGTGAGAAGGCATAATATAGGTTCCTAATAAGATATGTCTGTCTGCCTGTTTGTAATGCCCCTGGTGTTCCGGGTGTCCATGGGCTACGCCGATTGCTTACCAACAGGTGATCTGTTTGCTCGTTTACCAGCTTATCCCATAAAAAAACGGTATTTTCAAAAATAATACATCTTAAAATGTTTAATTTCTTTCCAGGCTTACTTATACGTAGATAAGAAACAAATAGTGGGTTGTTTGATCGTGGAGCCCAAGTTGCGCGCTTATAAGCTGATCCCCGGCGACCCTGACTGCTGCAGCGTCGAGGGCTATTCTGTCAAGTAAGTAATACTTGTAATATTTTATTAAAATTATGATGTAGAATAGGGCTGTCCAAACAGAGGCCCGCGGGCCACATGCGGCCCGCAGCTTGTTTTCATATGGCCCGCGACACAATCGAGTTTTAATCTCAAAATCTTCATCTTATGTGTAACAACAATAATAAAATTCAGTGTAAGATTTGTCTACAGGTTTTATCTGCAAGTAAAGAATACAATGTTAGATCACATTATACAATTGAAAACATTTTTCTGGCTTTCCAGCTTTTGTAAGAAATTTAATTAGCCCGCGAGGGTATATACTTTGGCAGCCCTGATGTAGAATATTGTTAACTGTTGACCTGGCTAAAGATAAAGTTTAAAAGTGTAATGTACGATTTGGTGCTCTATAACCCAGCTGCCAAGCATTAGTTTTAGCCCAAACCCTATTATGTAGAGGAGGTCCATACCCAGCAGTAGACTGTCAAAGTCTTTTGATGATGAGTGAGAGGATATGAGAACCAGATTGGACTTGGCTGATATCTGTAAAGTTTAACTTGAACATTATATTAATTTTGTTGAAATGAGAACCAAATTGTCACTTGATATAATTAAACTATACCTGTGTTAATTAAATAATCTGTCTACTATTGGACTAATTGCAAAAAGCGGCTATATTAAACACGTGTCGTATAGTTAGAAAATTCATGCAGATAGACGAAAATGAAATCTCACCACCACCACTGCCACTATCAACTCAAACCATAGAACCGATTGATAGTCACAATTTACTAACAGCTACCGAATAATATTCTGTATATGTTCTTTACTTGGCGGAAGCCCGTTACGGACATTAGAACCGGCCTTAGAGCCGAGAGCAAGAAGAATTGCAAAAAAAAAATTAATAAAAATCGTTTATTTGCACAAACAAATTATGAAACCTATAAAATGTGATTGGAGCCTCCCTTTAAGCAAGATATGTCTGTGTTAGGAAGCTCCGCTCTTTCACGACAAGACGTTCATAGTAAAATTCCCTAAATACAAACATTGCTTATTCTAATTTAATGACTAAGTTTGAATTTAGTAGGTCTAGGATTATTTAGACACCACTGATAAACGGTGAAGGAAAACATCGTCAGGAAACCTGGACTTATAATTTCTAATTATTAGTTTGAAATCGCTAACCCGCATTGAGCGAGCGTGGTGATTATTTCTCGAACCTTCTCCGTGTGAGAAGAGGCTTTGCTCAGCAGTGGGCATTTATAGGCTGTTGATGATGATGATGAAGTTTAGTTACATAATTTAATATCATGTCGGCAATGTTATCAAAGGTATAAGTATCATTAAGAGTGTTACTTCGCTTCTTTGACTAATGGTTATATAAAACTCTTTTGCAGATGCGGCGTATCCCGAATTTGGACGCATATAAACCACAGGAGGCGTGATATTGCAGCTCGCCTATTATCTTGCGCTAGGGCTTCCTTCCTGTACGGTGAAGCCCTAAAAGTGAGTGACATCGCCTTTAGCGCTCCTACGGCCGCTGGCAAAGCCTTCGCGACCAAATACTGTGGAACGTCAAACTTCTACGTATATTTGGAATAAAGACAGCCAGTATAAGTGTGAAAATACTTTATAGAAAGTGTATTTGTGTTCAATAAGTTCGGTTTGCAAACTCCATGACGTGTAAATATTAATATGAAGTGTTTTTTAAGTGAAATTAAGTGTTTTTGTTGGTATTTAGCTTGGTTGCAGTGTGTGAATGTAGTTTAATAGGTTTTTTATAATAATTCTGATGATTTTTGAGGACCCCAAGGTCCTTACTCCATTATAGACCTTATTACTGATGTTTAGAGACTACTTTTGTATGAACAAATGTGGTGGATTTAGAAGTGTTAAGTTTCTATTCCACTGTGAGTAAGATTATAACATTTTTCCTATCAAAACTTATAGTTATTATTATAGAAAGCCTACACTACCACTAGCCAGCTAAAATAATACCAGCTAACAACAAAATTTTCATAAATATGTGTGTGAAGTGCAAAAAACAAGTCTACCTCAGAGTGTGAAAACTGGAGTGCATTTGTGACTATATTTAACTTACGTGTGTTCTAAGTTATAACTTAATGGACAATAATTAATGCATAGAATGCATTAATATGTAAAATTACGTGTTTTATGAACTTTTTACTTGAATTCTTGTGTTGATAATGTGGCTATATTATTATACTTTGATTAATATTGTGGATAATTACAATGATGTATGAAACAAGGGCATTAATAGGTTTAAAAGCTACTGTAATGCTAAAAATGTTCTAAATCTATAGAAATGTTGCAAAACTGGTTCATATTTGTATTTGAATAATACTGGAATACTATTTCAATGGTCAGTTTTATGATTGCAATACAAATGTGGTTAAAAAGTATAATTTTAACTGTTGTTTGTAAAAGATTATTATGGTGAAAAACAATGATTTTAATAATTAACATTTTGCATGCCTTACTGTCATGTTTTTGGAAACTTTTTCTCGAAGAGCATGTTTTTATTTAAAAGACATAAATATTCTAATAAGAATATTATTTTTGATACTATTTTCTTGTTGTTGCATGACTAAATTATTGCCAAGTGATTACTTTGGGTCCAATTAGGTCTATTTTAAAATAAGCTGTCAAGTGTTTGATTCTCAATTTGAGTAATTGCCTGCTGATATTATTATTATCATTACTCAATTTATAAAAAATGTAATATAAATTGTACTTCGTTCCGCTAAGACTATTTGATAGTGCCACAAGTACTTTATACAACTGAAAATGCTTAATCTCTTAGCAGTCCGCAGCAAATATTAGAAAAATTCTGATACAAATAAGTTAATTGAGAAATATGGCTTGTGTGCATAACTCTACTAGTTTTGTCAACTTATATTTATGAGAAAAAAACGCGCATTATCGCCGTGTAGTCAACAGGTGACTGTAACGACAATATTTTTCAATGAATTTAGTATACCCCACGATAGTTATTACCGTTCTTACACAAAACACATAAGCTAGAATAAAACTTAGTATAAAATGTTCCAACAAAATTAGAAATATTTAATTTTTAATTGTAAGACAGTGCCAATGTCGATTTTAAAGTCGTTAGTTTAAGTTTTATGTGCCTCAAGTAATTTAAGTCTATTTCTAAGTGTAAATTTAAGATTTTAGATGTTTTTTAAGGTTTTTTGAAAATTTTACTGTAATTTTTGAGTTCAATTGTGTCTTATAAGAATTCATTTTGAGATGCATTTTTGAGATTTTCTCGTTAAAGAGTTTTTAATTTTGATTTATTGTTTATGCTACCACTTGATGGTCATTCTTTACTTTTATTAAACCAGACAAAAAATCTTGCATTACTACACTAGATTATTTTAAAACTAGCTTCACTCAGTTTCCAATGGGATATAAAGTATATATCCTACTTGATAGTCCAGCCCATGTTTCAAATTTTATCGCAGTCCGTTCAGCTGTTTTGTCGCGATTGAGTAACATATACAAAAACTTTCATATTTATAATATTAGTAAGATTGTTACACATACCTCAATAGTTTCAAAGCATTTTTTTACGCTTTTTATAAATGTAAGTTCAGGACAGTACGCTTATATTTAAGATTTAACATAAGTTAGAATAATTTGTTAGTAGCCCCCAAATGGGCAGGCTTGCGAAACGACTTAATACTCTTAATAATTTTATTGAATTTGTTTGATTGTAACTTGTCCATGTTTAGAGCTTAGCACAGGTTTTTTTGTAATTTAAAAACTGTTTTAACTCGGCAATATGATGTCTTGATTTTACTGATATTTTATTTTATTTATTAGAGCAATTGGGTATTCCTTGGCCAAAATCAAATTGATTCGATTTCAACACGATGTAGTAATTCTGTCACTGATTGGTCTATTTGACGCTAAAAATTGACGTTAGAACTTAGATCGTTCGTAAAATTCATAGCAACGTTTTTGCCAGTTCAAAATGGGTATTGAATGGAACTAGTTGGAAAATACAGTAATACAGAGCCCTGTTATCCCTAAGGTAAACTGCAAAAATTTCTAGGGCGCCAGGCTACACAGCGGCATCTATGAGATGCTTGTCTCGGGTGCTCTATAGGTTTAATCCGTGGAGTGTTAGATTAGAACGCATATCTACGGAAGATACAATATGTTATCTATTGTGTCTCACATCGATAGACAAGAGGTTAATTCGTCTCTGCCCTAATACACTTAATATGGTAATGTACAATACATAATTTGTCTATAAAAACTGTGCTAAGCTCTTATTCCTTCATTGTGTCATCGAATCCTAGTCTATATTTATGTTATGATCTGAATTTAACACCTTTTTAATACAATTTCTGTCACACATATGATTTTGAGATAATAATAGTCATTTTAACAATTTCCAGTTTTACTCACAATACCGACTAGCCCAAAGATAATTCATTCTGTATGACAATGGACATATTATAAATATTAATTTATTTATAGCAACTGTTTCACTGTCTCAAACTTTTTTAAATGTTTTTGACAAAATTCTCGTTTACCTACCGATGTGCTCTTTTGAAATTACACAGAAGTGTGAATTTTGGTTTTAATACTTATAATAAAATTGATTTTTATTATGATGTTGTTTTATTCTCTTATTACATTGCATACAAAATGACTAGACCCTATGACTAGAACCTAGACCCTGCCTTACGATTTAATTCCGTGTCGTGGGTGTGTTTGCCAACATACTTACGCCACCAGACTTGGAATAATTTGTGGAACATACAGAGTTGTTCCATATGGGAATCGTACTTGTAACAATGCTTAGCATACGATGGTTTTTGTCGGAATAGGTAGTTGGTGATGAATCTTAGACATCAATTTTAGCCAAGGTCACTTCCACCTTCATTACCTCCATCACCTATCTTGCGACCAACAAATATATCATTACAGTACACTTAGGGGCTTCCGTACCCCCTAAGGATATGAAAATTTCTTTCAACTTTGAACTATGTAGGTTCTCCAGATTTAAACACGCGAGACCTAAGTTATCCCGTCCACAAAAATTACTCATGAACATAGGTTTGAGATTTTGAGAGAGATAAATGTGCCCGCTCCTATCAGTCATTGAATAATCTTAGGTCATTCCCACCTCCGCCAAACAGCAATTTCATACAGAGGGTGTGGTCACAGTGGCGTAGCGAGCCTTGGCGGGGCCTCGCATAAAAAATGTTTGCAGGGCTCCAAAAATTTTTTTCATAAAAATAATTCATTCGTTGACTTTTGTGATTTCTAATAAATATTTGGGATTTTTATTAATTTTTGCTTATGCACGTTGGGGGCCCCGTATAATTGATACTGCAGATACGGCGCTAGCTACGCCCCGTGTGGTCTCCAAGGTGGGTTCGAAAATTTGGTTACCTATTTTTTAACTAGGATTCTTGCAATATCTTAACCTTTTGAATGCACCGATATGAGACAAAAGAAAATACATTGTGTCTCGCGTGGATGCACGGCTTAGACACACGAAAGGTTAATTCAAGATATTGCTTTACTTGGGATATATTGTGCTCGACTTGCCCCCTAATCAGTAATTATTAATACGGGTTCTGTCTCAAAGCCTAAAAAAATTTCCTATATAACAGGGGTGACCACGAGGTCGATCGCGACCATTAGTCCAGTCGATCATGGCAAGGCAGACTGCACAACGTAGTTATGAACTACTACAGTATCATCTTGAGTAATTTTTTAATGTATTTTATATTTTTATGATTATGTACTAGACTGCTGCTGTTTCATTTAGGATTAGGATTTCAAGTAGATCGCACAGGGTTTCGTTAGTAAAAAGTAAATCTTGTCTGATCAAATTGGCTATCTGTGCGACATTAATATTCATTTCTATTCTGACAAGGGTGGATTGGATTAAGGATTGGAGGTAAGGACATAGGGATGTAGGAAAAAATGAAATACAACAATTTTAAAACAACATTTATTTTTACATACATTAAGTCGGATTCAAAATGCCTGAAACATACTGATTTTTGTACACATCAGTTATAGAATATTATTAATTTCATGGACAGTAAATTATATTCTCTTTGCACGAATCTGTGGAGACATGAAACTCAAGCGTTTGTTATTTAATAATCACCTCGCAGTACACACTACTATACACATAAATATTAAAAATTTCATTTTTATCTTTAGGAATTTCATTAATTAGGTATATTTTTTTAAATTAAATTTGTTAAAAATATAGATTTTCAGTATACCTTTAAACGTAGGTATGAAGATTAAATACACCACAATCCGCAGTCCGCCGGTAACGAACACAATGCAAGTGCTGATTGAGTACCGATTCTAAACAAACAGTGAATTTGAGCTATGCTATAAAATATCTATTAAAAATTAACTACCCAAAATTGAGAGAAAAATACGTTTTTATTATTTATTTTTGTGCTACAATGGAAAGAAATCTATGAGCACTAATTAAATGCGTTGATCGATTAGCGAGAGAGATGCGACGAGGAATAGGTATAACTTTACCAAAAATATTTGCAGTCGTACGCGGGCACGCTGCGCTTTGTAAACAAAACAGTACTCGACACCGTCCTCACATACATGTTGTGCGCAAGTACATTCACTTAACACTACTATGAAGATATATTAAAAAAGGAGGAATTTCTCAATACTATTTGGTTATTGGCAACGGACGTTACGATACTACGAGTGAAGGATCTGAACACGCGAAACAAAGTTAAACCTACGTCGACAATGTTTGCGGCGACACGATTATATGAAAAATATGTCGATGACATGCTCACACACAGCACGATACTGCCGGTATGTCATCTAAATATTGAAAAACATAGAAAATTATTTTCTAAGCTACCTTTATACACGTTACTATGACTCACATGTTATTGCATTCACTTAAATTGTAAAGGATGAGGGAAGGACCGCAATATACAATGTTCATATACGTCGATATTTTAGGGGACCCTTCCTAGCTGACACCTCAAGCATTGAATGTTCACTATTCGCATTACCATCTAGTTTAAAAACATTTAGTTCAAAAACTCATTTAAATATGGACGAAATACCCCTAAAAATGATCTAACGCCGTATGTACAGTGAAAAAATATAGCATCGGTCGAGCCGAGTAACAAATCGCGGACACTGCATAGATATTACAAAAAACATTGAAAACTAAATTGATTACGTATTATTTTTAAGTCTTTGAAGTATGAACAACCGAAAATATTGTGAGCTTAGTGGCATTTATATAAAATTGTTTAGTCAACTAAATACTAGTCGAACTGAGGCGTAACTATAAATTAATATAAAAAATTCACGTGCTTTCTCTATTAATTGTGATATTTCTAAGTCGTGTACTTTTATATGAAAGCTTAGCCCGGCGCCGCTTAACTGATGGTCATTTTACATAACTAGAAAACGAAAAAAAAAACAATAAAAAATCACAAAAAAAGC